GTTTTCATGTCTTTTATTTTGTAATTGTTTCATGCTGTTTGTGTCATGCTTCCCTTGCCCTCATGTCTTCATGCTATTGGTTCCTCTGTTCATTGTGTCATGTTCTGATTGGTTGGCTTAGTCATGTGTCTTGTTTCCCATTGGTTTGCTCCTTGTCTGCTATAACTAGCCATCATGTTCCCATTGTGCCCTTGTCGTGTATTTGATGTTGTAACCCGCTGTTTGTGAGTCTAGTCTGTTATACCTCATCAAGCCTGTTCATGTCAAGTCAAGTCTGTTCATGCCTAGTCAAGTCTGTTCATGCCTCGTCAAGTCTGTGTGGACGAAGCGGAGTCCAGCCCGGGGTCGTCACATGTGGTTGCTGCACGCCCACCGGCCGCTCCTTCGTCAAATCCGCTGGCCACGCCGTTCTCAAGGCCGCCGGCCTCCGCTCACTCAAGCCCGCCGTCAGAGTAGCATACAATGGGTCTGTGCTCAAAGGCTGTTATATAAAGTGGGGCAGTTCCAACTTTGCAAGGACAGACTAGCGCTTCTGACGCACAGCCTGTAAGTAATTTTTTTATATTTAAAGAATTAGCCACTGATGATTCAAACGCGAGTAGCGCTTGTTGTTTGTCATTTCTCCGATCACAAATGCAGACATGGTTTTATGTTTAAAACCATATTGTGTATTTACGCGATACACAACGCAACGCGTAAAAACACAGTATAAGTCATTATAATCAGTAATTATGTCCCCACTGGATGCAACAAATGCTGTTTTTTTAACCTTAAACCGCATAAACACATTTCATTACACCAAATACACAAACTAATGTTCTTTTTAGCAACATCATATGACCCCTTTAAGTTTTACACTTTATATAACTCAAAAGACTTCTGTAATAATTTTACTGTGTTGGGAGAACTAGAGTTGGATACTGTACCTCTCACCCTTGAATGACCCATTGGCTTCTTTTCCCTGCAAAAGGCCTTGGATCCATTCAAAGTCCCTCAGGCCTTCAGGGATCATTACATATTTGATATCCTATTGAAAAAACACCAGTGTGCCACTTCTTTCAGCAAAACATTTTTAGTTGTATATAGAATGTTACAAAAAATTTAACCACACACAATACAATAACAGAACCACAAAAACAAACAAAACGTTATATACACTACGGTTCAGTAGTAATTTTTTTAAGGAATCCTTTTATTCAGCAAGGATGCATCCAACTTATCAAAAGTGAAAGACATTTATGTTACACATTTCTATTTCAAATAAATGCTGCTCTTTTGAACTTTCTATTCATCAAAGTATCCTGGAAAAAAAATCTACCACAGCTTCCACGAAAAAAAAACTTTGTCTTTGTCTTGTTTGTCTTTGTCGTGAACATTGATAATAACAAGAAATGTTTCTTGAGCAGCAAATCAGAATATTAGAATGATTTCTGGAAAATCATGTGACAGTGAAGGCTGGAGTAACGGCTGCTGAAAATTCAGTTTTGCCATCACAGGAATAAATTACATTTGAGCATCCAAATAGAGAACAGTTGTTTTGAATTGTAATATTATACAATATTAGTGATTTTGTATTATTTGTTTTGATCAAATAAATGAACCCTTGGTGAGCGTAAGAGACTTCTTTTAAAAACATAAAAAAAATCTTAACCTCTTTTGAATGATTGTGTACAGTTGTGTAGTATATTTATATTAATAATTCTCAATGATGAACACAGCAGCACAGTGTATTTGAAGTGAGTTACCTGCATGCAAAATTGTAAAATATACTGACCTCATCTTGTGGAATATTGTGAAAGCCATACTGTTTTAATGTCAGAATGGATGCATATAAGGAAAAAGCTGTATGTACATAGACTGATGTTCTATTTCCAACATCCTCCTCATAACCTCGAGTAACAGCCCCATTTACTCTGTTTAAGAATAATACACACAGTTTCAGAATACACACACACAGTCATGACCTCAGAATAACTGTTATTGTAGAATCTGTTATTGGCATGCATTACCATTAACATAACTAATTCATTCAGTTGTCAACTCTACCTTAGCCATTTTTTACAAATCTAATTTTATTTTAAAACATTTACTCTTACCGAAAAACGTAATCATGGGAGTCTATCTCTTTGCCCATCTTTGAGTTATTGAGAATGCCACCAGAGCCCACAACAGCACAGCGGATACAGCCATCCTTTGAACTTTCAGGCACAGGCAGTAATATTGAAGACTTGGGCTTTGGTATCAAATCCACTGCTCCTTTTACTTCTTCAGTGGGGAAAAAAAATGCACGTAAAGGAACGCAAAGTGCATGGGGGACAGGTCATCCAAACTTAAAAGAATTGTTGGCCCAAAAATTAAAATGTAGTCATCATCATGCCATCCAAGATGTAGATGAGTTTGCTTCTTCATCAGAAAAGATTTGGAAAAAATTAGCATTACATCGCTTGCTCACCAATGGATCCTCTGCAGTAAGTGGGTGCCGTCAGAATGAGAGTCCAAACAGCTTATATAAGCATTACTGGTGGCACCCATTCACTGCAGAGGATCCATAGATGACCAAGTAATGAGGAAACAACCTCATCTACATCTTGGATGGCATGAGTGTAAGAATAATTTTAGCAAATATTCATTTTTGGATGAACTAGAGGGAACTAGAACTAAGGGAATATTTTAAGGTTGCGAGTTAAGCTCAATCAACAGTGTTTGTGGAATAATGTTTATTACCACACACAAAAAATAATATATACTGTATATATATATAGACAAAGTGATACATTTACTGGGGCAAATCTTTAGAGGACTTAGAGTAAAAATAAACGTATAATTTTATAAAAACATGAATTCTTCTGTTAAAAAACTGTTCTCATGACATTTGTTTTAGGTTTTTCTGGGATACGTTGTCATGATAACAAAGTAACTTGCGTCACATAGAAAAAGTAAATCACACTAAAATAATTTCTCACACTAAAATAATGTTAGCACATACTATTTATGTTTTGCAACTGCGGTATTCAAAGAGTATTTTAGTTTAGTGACTTGCCATATTTACTACCATTATAACCCATATCTCAGCTTTTTTTAAAGTCAGCATGAAAGGGAAGTTACCATCATCATTGTTTCTTCCCTATTGTCCCTAAATTTAGAAGCGGACTTTATTTTTTTTTTCCAATAGGATTTGATCGGAACATTGTTGTTTGCTATTGCTGGGATCTCATGTGAGTGACAGGTTACTGCACACGTCATCAGAAAAACAAAATGTCGTAAATCGACAGCATTTGTGGCATAATGTTGATTATGATTGTCCTGCCTTTTCTAAGCGGACTCGGGTACGGTTCGCGGGTGCACACCTGAGTTCGGAAGACAGCGTTCACATCATCCAAACGTACTGAACTCTGACGTCAATCAAACCCGGGTACGCACCAAAAGTGCTAGTGTGAAAGCACCCAACAATTTAACATTTTATGGAATATTGCAGTTCATTATAAATTATTTATTCGTGCACATCATTTTTTTTCATTCATGTGCCCTTGTATTCTTTAAGCTTAACCTGTACTGAAGCCGTAATGTTTCAAGTAAAGAAACAGACGTCCGTTTCCATTGTTTAGGTACAGTGCGCCAATGACATAAAGCTAATAATGACCTACTGCACCCCTTTCTCAAACATATTCAGGATTCTATACACCCGTATTTCGCCAGGAATGATCTTTAATTTGCCTTAGGTTATCACCATTGTACTTGTATTCCATGAAGCCGAAGGGATTGTTGAAGTGTGCTAATCGATTCCATTCTGTTATGTTGAGTAGACCTTTGTACAGCCACAGCTGAATGTCAGGAAGTGTCGCCTGCTTGAACTTGGGATCCTCTTTGTTTTGAAGGGACTCTGGACAGGTCTACAGAAAAGGTGATTTTTCAAAGGATCAAAATGACTGCACAACTTCACAATGAGAATGGTATTGGAAAAGTAGCACTTACAGGTCTTCTTGCTTCATTGTTTCGCAAATAAACATCTTCGAAATCCCACACTGGAAGTTTTGTAAAATTGTTCTTATAGAGAACCGGAATAGGTGTTATGTTGACTTCTCGCTCAGTGGGGTAAATGGGTTTTTCTGTTTTGTACAAACTACTAGTTCCAAGTGGTGATAAAATGATGACAGTTTTGCTAATTAGGAGGCAAGTGTTTAGCAAAAACAGGAATAAACTTCTTGTGGTAATCCAGACCAACAAATATTTCACAAAACAGTATTAAAACCCATATACAAGTTATTAGAATATCATAATTACACCATAATTACACATTTTTTAAATATTTAGCTAGTCGTTTTCTTACCCGTGAAACTGTTCAGAGAGATTCATCCAAAACACTAGATAGAGCAGCACGCAGCAAGTCAGAATGAGACTAATAGCAGTCCAATTTTTCTGCATATTTCAAGACCAATTTCCACTCATATTATCAGTCTGGCCCTATTCATGTGCATTGTGCACTGTGTGAAAGAATTTACTGTTTGTAACAGTGTTTTATAATCTACCTATTCAAATTCATTACATCATCAAACCAGGTGTGTTTATATCTGCATTACAGTCCGCCCATCGCTATGAATAATATTATTGGCCTTTGGCCAGCACAGATCTATGAGCAGTGTTTAAACATAACACAATTGATAAATAATAAAAAATATAAAGCAAAAAGTGTTTTTTATTTATAAAAATAAAACTAATATGCATAATTTGTCCATACTAGTAACTTAAAGAAGCACAGTGTCACTACGTAAGATAGACAGCTGACAGCTAGAGTGAGTAATACTAGCTGATTTTGAATTTTATTTCAGTTTAGTTCATACTGTATTTAACATGGATTTGGTTTGAACTGACATGCACCATAACCATTAATTGAAGCTAAAGCACAAATAAAAAGAAGACAAAAAGACTAGTACTTAATTTTCTACTGAACGTTTCCAGATTTGTTGATTCCTCATTACTTATATTATGTATAATAATGACCAATAAATGCATATAATATGCATATAAGTCATAAACAAACCCTTTTTTCCCACAATCAAATATTTCAGGGAATAGGTTCACTGAGGTCACTGATTTCAACTTGAAAACTCCTTTAAAATGGTATTTGAATCTATAATTTGAATCTAGACAGTGTTTGCCAGTACAGTCTTATCTGCTGATCTGTTAAACAGAGTAGAGTTTAAGCTGTTCTTGTAAATCGCTCTCTGTCACCTCACCAAATGTGTCTTGTTTGTCTTTGAGCAGCTGGAAGATGGCAGCTAACTGCTCTCGCTGAACCCTGAAACAAAACATGTACACTTTATTAAACACAAATCTCAGATGTTCAGTTTGTAAATTAATATCTACGGTTGTGGCAGTAAGTTTAGTCTAAAAGACAGTCAGTCACTGCTGGAAAGGGTTCAAATATGCCACAATATGCTTACAATTCTGGAAAACCAAAGAAAGTGCAGGACCTGGAGGATTTTTCTGAACAACAGTGTGCAGTTTCACATAGGACTTATGAACAACTATCGCAAAACATCAGAAAACAGTCATTGATCAACCAGGTAGCGACACACAGTATTAAGAATTAAGTGTACTGTATGTACATTTTTTAATGGGATCATTTTTAAAAAATTCTGCTATTGTTTTGTCTTGTGGAACATGCCATTTTTATGATCCTCTTATTTTGATATTATTATTAATATTTTGCAGATTATGTGGCAGTAAGTTTAGTGTAAAAAGACAGTCAGTCACTGCTGGAAAGGGTTCAAATATGCCCGAATATGCTTACAATTCTGGAAAACCAAAGAAAGTGCAGGACCTGGAGGATTTTTCTGAACAACAGTGTGCAGTTTCACATAGGACTTATGAACAACTATCGCAAAACATCAGAAAACAGTCATTGATCAACCAGGTAGCGACACACAGTATTAAGAATTAAGTGTACTGTATGTACATTTTTTAATGGGATCATTTTTAAAAAATTCTGCTATTGTTTTGTCTTGTGGAACATGCCATTTTTATGATCCTCTTATTTTGATATTATTATTAATATTTTGCAGATTAATTTTGCAAGGTCTATGTAAACTGCAACTGTATAATGATGTTAGACACTTGAACTGACGTTGCAGAGATTTTCATTTATTAGTAGCCTATTTACAGTGGGTATGGGAAGTATTCAGACCCCCTTCAATTTTTCACTCTTTGTTATATTGCAGCCAGCAAAGTGATGTACAAATGAAGAATAAAACTTGAGCAGTTTAATTTAGCTGAGATAAAATAATAAAATTATTTTATATCCTATCCAAATAATAAATGGTGTGAATTCACATTCGTACAGGTATGACGTTCTTATCCGGGACTAAAGGAACAATAGGCAAACAGAAAACTCGAATAGCCTGAAACCTTCAGTCTGTAATGATGAGTTTATCTAACATAAAGATAAACTGTAAACTGTAACTGTTAACACACTGAGGTGTGTTAAAGCGTATGCTGTTCAAACAGAAAATGCATTTTGTTTACTTAGTTGAATAATCAACAAATGCCAAATGTTAATGCAAGCAGGAGCACATTTTAAACTATGGAAGTAGAATATTAAAGTGAACATGCTTGACAGAACTGTTTGCAGACTATTTAAGAAAATTTATTTCAAAATGTTTGTTATGGGTGGAGGGAGTGAATACAAACTGATTGTTTGTATGGGTCATAAATCATCAAGATATGAAAACACATCCTGTGAGTCTCTGAGAACAAACTAGAAAAGCAAAATACAAAGTAAACAAGGGTAAGACTTGATGAATTACTCAAGGTGAACCTTACACTTTACACATGGTGCATTAAACTGATCAAACGTGACAGTAAAGACATTTATAATCAGTGTTGCGGGTAACGCATTACAAGTAACATGGGTTATGTATTCAGATTACTTTTATAAAGTAACTAGTAATGTAACCCATTACTTTTTAATTTAGAAGAAAATATCTGAGTTAATTTTTTAAATATGTAATGCCAGTTACTTTGTTTTCCCATTTATTGACTGACAGCTCTCCTGTCCCCATGTTGAGAGAAACCGGGAGTAACTAAGTGCAGCGGCGTTGTGTGCGCTGTGTACACATAATGCTTACTGCATTTCTAGATTAAATGTCAACATACATTTACTCATCTCATGTGCACAAAAACAGATTCAGTATTCCTCGAAATGAATAAAAACAGTGAAATGCATACCTGCAATAATTAAATATGTTAACACAAAAATAATTTTTGTATTTAATCCCATTTTATTAACCAATGGCTTTACTGCAGACCTTCGATGATCCAATTCAAGAATACTATTAAGCAAAAATGACTTTAAACATAACATTTGTGTTTCTTTGTGATTGAGAAGAAAAGTATCCTATTCTATAGAATCCTAGAAAGCATACAATTTTTTTCCATGCAATCCAGAATGGCAGCACAACTGAAAGGAATGTTTCAAAATTTTTGAATTTACATTTCCTTCAACCTGAGGGAATGAAAGGGCTTTTATATTTGCCAAAAATATAACTTTTTATATTAAAAACAAGCAAGCAAGCCCAGCCCAGATGAGAAAAAGTAACGCAAAAGTAATGTAATGCATTACTTTCCATAAAAAGTAGCTAAGTAACGCAATTAATTATTTTTTTAGGGAGTAGGCCTAACGCAATATTATAATTCATTACTTTTAAAGGCAAGGTAGGTGATTTGGTTCAAAAACATTTTTTGTTATGCTGGTTGAAAGTCTCTTCACATCCCGATAGCAATCACTACGTTAAGTGGTCTAAATGTATTTTTATTTATTTATATCACCTGTGGAAGGTTTAGGACCACAAAATGTTCGTCCAATCAAAATCTTTGGTCCAAAGATTACGATGTCCTACCTGCCTGTCCATGTATGTATTTGCATACCTCTGCACACCCTGTTTGTGCAGACATGATACGTCATCAGTGCGTTCCATTATGCTACTGCAGACCGAGCGAGAACGGAAGGCGTTATTATTATAATATTGTGCGCTTTATACTGTAATGATTTCTCATCGGTGTATGGAAGGATATTGCGGACTATTTTCAAAAGGAATTGCAAATTGTATTTTCAATTGCATTTTCCATAGATGGGCACATAAATTGTGACATAATCCATACGCAATTGCCAATCTTGCATTACCATTTGCGTTTTTGCTTTTGCAAATGCACAGTGACTGTCGAATTTCAAATGGAAAAGCAAAGTCCTTTTGCAACTGTATTTCCCATGTCTTATGAGTTATGACCCTGTCATATTTAAATAGCAACAGTAATTACCACGTCTGCTTTTTCACTCTCTCTGCGTTGCGCATGTAACCTGCCAAAACTCACTTGGAATCGCAATTCCTTTAGCATTTGAATTTTCGATGCCTTGCACAGAAACCTGTCAATCAGTGTCAGGGGTGGGACTATTCTATGGGGCGTGCACATATTGGGAAGTGACGTCACTCACAATAGGTCAAAATTCACCATTAACCAAACTTTCCACCTGCCTCAACATCTCTCACTGTTTGCACTCCGATTGATGCACGTGAGCAAACAGACAATTGTACACTTTGTGCAAATTGTGCAATTGTACACTTATTGTATTATATTGAATTCCTCTCTTTTAATCCGTAATGGAGCACGCGTTGCCTCAAGATCTTTTCCACCTGCCTCAACATCTCTTACTGTTTGCACTCCGATTGATGCACGTGAGCAAACAGACAGTGCAATTGTACACTTATTGTATTATATTGAATTCCTCTCTTTTAATCCGTAATGGAGCACGCGTTGCCTCAAGATCTCTCACTGCTTACAGCCACTGTATATTAAGTTACACACCTTGGCTGTGGCATGTTCTGTGACAGCTGCGCCTAGATCTGACTGGAGAAGTGTCATCTGGGGCAGACAGATAGGAGTAGTAGCATTTTCTGTATGGTCATGTGCATTGGCGTACGGGACACCCCTGCAGCCACCGTGGTGCATGGGGGCCCCGTTGCAGGACATACTAAAAGGCATTCGCAAATCACACAGAACATGTTTTTGCTTTGAAATATGAAAGACACGGCAGTGGGATTTGGAAAACATTTTTTAATTCTTTTGACTTGAGCGTCGCAAAAAGAAAAGACGCTAGACGTGAGCGCAAAGGTAGTGCAGTGGAGTGGAAAAGTGTGTGGAAAAACTCTTAACGTGGCTTAATAATGTTCTAAAACATCAACTAGGAAAATCTATTTTCTCTCACATTTCACTTGTCATAAACTCTATACTTCTAAGACAATCGCACCATAATCGAAGTAGATATTTTTATGCTTAACATGGCTTATACATTAAGACAGTGATATTAAACGGTCAAACTCTGCTGAAGTGCCCAGAATACGAACGCAACACACAAAGTTTTACGTTAAGCCTTTATCTCCCACTGTAAAAAAAAAAAGTGGTAACATGCAATTATGTGAAAGTGCTATTTCTACCTGTTCTTACCCTTAAAGGGGTCATGGACTGCCTTTTTTATTATTTTGTACTGTTCTCTGAGACTCACTTATAATGTTATCAAAAATTCGACATAAAAAAAAAACATAATTTAAAAGTAATTTTCTGTCCTGTTTTGACCCCCTCATCGGAACGCTCTGTTTGAATATGCGTGGCGGATTGTAGACTCGGAAGTAACACCCACTGCTATGATTGGCTAACAGTTGTATATGTTTGACAGCCTACACCCTTCATAGATGTACGCTGCTGTGATTTAGCTTAAAAACACTGTCTGAATAATCAGTTCTGATTGGCTGGCAGGTATGCATTAAAACCGTTTAATGCACAGGTAGTTCCAAGTCAGTATAATCACCGTTCTAAATTAAATTGCTACCTATAAACATTGGTAACCATAGTAACATACAGTTACAGTTATACAGAGACAGTATATAAACACTTCCGATTTACTTAGCTTAATGGATTATTTCCGCGTGTCATTTAACTTATTTGGTGAATATGGCAATTTTGATAAATGGGCAGAGGCACAAGATGAACTAGACGAACTGGAGATGGAGAACATAACGGTAAGTGAGAAATGTAACAAAAAACATCGCAAGGAATTAACACCAGCAGAGCTCAGCAGATAGAAGACGACAAGGATGAGGTTAACACAAAAAAAGTTTGCAATTAACACATTCAAAGACTTTTTGTATCAGAGACAAAAAAGTGCTGATGTTGAGACCTTCGCTGCTTCTCTTCTTAATGAGACCTTGCGAGAGTTTTATGCCTCTGTTCAAACTAGCCTACACC